AGTTATTTTCATCAAAATGTAGTTGTTATTTATTGTTTTGTTTGTTTGTTTTGGGGTGGAGGGCAGGGCTAGGAACTTGTAGTTGGCCACCTTGCTAACATCACTCTATTTTCTTGTTTCTTATGCTTTTGACATCACTAAGAATCCATTGCCAAATCTAAGGTCATGAAGATTTTCTCCTGTGTTTTCTTTAAAGAGTTATCTTAAAAGAAGCTCACAGATCCATTTGAGTTAATTTCTTTTCTTTTTTTTTTTTTTTTGAGACAAGATCTCACTCCGTCACCCAGGCTGAGTGCAGTGGCACTGTCACAGCTCACTGCAGCCTCAACTTCCCAGCCTCAAGCAATGCCCCCATCTCAGCCTCCTGAGTAGCTGGGACTACAGGCATATATTGCCACACCCAGGTAATTTTTATCTTTTATTTTTTGTAGAGATGGAGTCTTACTATGTCACCCAGGCTAGTCTCAAACTACTGGATGCAAGCGATACTCCTGCCTAGGTCTCCCAAAGTGCTGGGATTATAGGCGTGAGTCACTGTGCCTGGCCTGAGTTAATTTTTATATATCATATGAATTAGGGGTTCACCTTCATTCTTTTGTATGTGGATATATAGTTGTCCCAGCACCATTTATTGAATTATTTTCCCACTGAATAGACTTGGCACCCTAGTAGAAAATCAGTTGAACATAGATGTATGGGTTTATTTCTAGACTGTCTGTTCTATTCCATTGTCTATATGTTTATCATTGTGCTAGTACCATACCGTTTTGATTACTGTAGCTTTTTAGTTAAGTTCCAAATTGGGCAGTGTGTGTCCTTTAACTTGGTTCTGTTTTTTTTTTTTTTCCAAGATTGTTTTGGCCATTCAGGGTCCCTAGCAATTTCATGTGAACATGAGGCTTCCTTAAAAATCCTAGGTAATTTTTTCCATTTCTGCAAAACAAAAAAAAAGTAATCAAACAAAAAACAAAAACAGTGATGGAATTTTGATAGAGATAACATTGACCCCGTAGATCGCTTTGGGAATTGTTGCTCTCTTATAACAATATTAAGTGTTCCTTTTTCTTTTTTTAGACAGAGTCTCACTGTGTCCCCTAGGCTGGAGTACAGTGGCATGATTTCAACTCACTGCAACCTCTACCTCCTGGGTTCAAGTGATTCTCCTGCCTCAGCCTCCTAAGTAACTGGGATTACAGGTGCATGCCACCACACCAGGCTAATTTTTGTATTTTTAGTAGAGACAGGGTTTCACCATGTTGGCCAGGCTGGTCTCAAACTCCTGGGATCAAGCCATCCACCCTCTTCAGCCTCCCAAAGTGCTGGAATTACAAGCATAAGCCACCACACCTGACCCGTAGGTATTCTTTAAATGCTAGTATGTGGAATTGTTTCTTAATTGCCTTCATATTGCTTATTGCTGCCAGTTCATTTAATAAAAAAATCTAGTCCTGCCAAAAACAAAGTCAAGTTGTCCCTTGGCCCCACAGTAACTCTTTTAGAGTGTTTTCCTTCTTTTCCTTCTCTACCCCAAGTTTTAAGAAGTAAAATACACGTATTGTGGAAAATTTGGGAAAATATTAACATAAAAGAAACTTCTAATACATTGTTTAGTGACAATTTCTGTTAATGTGTCAGTATATTTCTGTATTTTTCTGCATAAACATATTTTTACAGTAAATAAATGCAGTAAAACTGAATAATGGTTTCTAAAGTTCTAATAGTTTTCAACCCCTGAAACCTGAAATGTTACCAATATGGGAACACACTCTTTCCATATTTGCAAATTAAAAATCTTGAGATGAAGAGATCGTCGTGGATTTCTGGTGGGACTGAATGCAGTCACATATATCCTTATAAGAGGAAAACAGAGGGAGATTTGACCACACATCTCAGAGATTAGAATGATATAGCCACAAGCCAAGGAATGCTGGTAGCTCCCAGAAGCTGAAAAAGACAAGGAATGGATTCTTTCCTAGTGTCTCCAGAGGTAGTGTGGCACTACTGACACTTTGATTTTGACTGAGTGATACTGATTTTAAATTTCTCTGTTTTAAGCCACTGAATTTATTGTAATTTATTACAGTAGCCACAGGAAAGTAATAGAGATTTTGATACACGATGTGGTGTGCTGCTGTAACAGACACCTGGGATTAGATAATTGGTGGAGGCTAGAGGAATTTTGAAGTGTGCAGTACAACTATGGATGTTAAAGGCACTTCTGGTGAGGGATCTGAAGGAAGTGAGGAGCATATTAGAGAGAGTCTATAAATATATAGCCTTAGAGAATACATATATTGTTAGAAGCAAAATGTTGGTAGGAATGTTGTTAAAAGTGCTGGTGAAGACTTGGAAGGAAATGAGGAACCTGATATTGGGAACTGGAGAAAGGTTATCCTTGTTATATAGTGGTGGAAACTTAGCTGCACAATTGTTGCCACAGTTGTGTGGAAACCATAACTTGTAATCAGTAAACGTGGATATTTTTGCTGAGGAAATTTCCAAGCAAAGTGTTCCAGGTACAGCCTGGTTTCTTCCTGATGCTTATAGTAGAGTGCAAGAGGAAAGAGTTAAATTGAGGGAATGAATGCTACTAACCAAACAAACAAATAAAACCCCTCAAAACCAGGACTCTATCATTTGGGAAATTTTCAGCCTATTGAGACTGCAAAGTTGATAAAACTGAGATTCACTCTGGAGAGAAGTGAGGGTGTGACTGAACAACTTTTCCTAGTGTTGAAGGGATTGGATGTTTGACTCATGGATCCATTCAATCATTATAGCAGAAGCCAGGGATAGAGAGGAGGTTATCCAAGAAAGATCTGTGGAAGACTCTCTTTGCCTAGTGACATGGATTGGTGTGCATACACAGGAGACCCAATGGGGATTTGGAAATATTAAATCAGAAGGAACACTGCCAGCTTGGACTGAAAGGAGAAAAACAGGATTAAATGAAAGAAGGCTGTCAGACTTTTAAAATTCTGCAGACCAGAATCAGGCTGATAAAACTGCTCACCTGCAAACATATGCTTAAAAAAGGAAGGAAAAGGAAAAATGACTTCATGGTAGGAGCTATAGGCCCAGAGGCCTGAGGCCAGGCCCATAGGCTGGATTCAGGTGCAGAGGCCAGAACCACCAACGTAGAGGTTCAGGCCACAGAAGATTATTCCCAGGCCTTGAATCCTAATGGAATTTGCCCTTCTGGATTTCAAAATGGCTTGGGACTGTTGAACCTTTTTCCTCCTCTTTTCTCCCTTTTGGAATGGCAATATCTTTAACTGTTATTCAGTGCTTATTTCATCATTGCATTTTGGAAGCAGATAACTTGTTTGCTAGTTTCAGAGGAAACTAATAATAGTAAGCATAAGGATTTTCTAAATGCATTCTAATCTTTTAAACAAATCTCATACTCCAATTTAAAATGGACTTTTTCCTAAATTTAAGACCTTCTCCAATGCCTTGCCCCAATGCATTGTCTATGAAATCCTTATTCCTTAGATTCAACCCTTAAGATAATACAATCCAAAATGGTAGATGTGTATGCCAAGGCAATGCTCATAATGAGCCACCGTGGTGCAGAAAACAAACAGTGAGAAAGAAAGAGAAACAAAATAACCTTAAAACAGATATAATTCCATGTTTTTATCTTATCCTTTTAAATTTTTAATTTTGTGTACAGTTATATATAATTTCCAAATTAATTGATAGCCATAATTTGGGAATGCTGTAAAACTTTTTTTTTTTTTAACCAATAGGGATGTACAATCAAAAAGATTTAGACTACTGTTCCAAAACATGACTGTTGGCAGTGCATTTGGTGGTCCCGCAGATCTGTTTCTTTCTTCAACAGTGTTTGGATGGAACAGATATGGGGACTAAAGAAAAAAAAAAGAAGAAAACAATAAAATAAAATAAAACAATAAAATAAAACATGACTGTTACTCAATCATATTGTTAAGCAAGATCCAGAACCGGAAAAAGACAGAGTGGATTCTTTCTTAGAGTCTCTAGAGGTAGTATGGCCCTACTGACACTTTGATTTTAACTGAGTGATACTGATTTTACATTTTTCTGTTTCAAGCCACTGAATTTGTTGTAATTTATTACAGTAGCCACAGGAAAGTAATTCAGGTTTGGTCTGTTGTCCAAACTTCACCCTGTTTTGAACTCAGTCCTTTGCTTGTAATAATTAAATAAATAAAGTAATAAAATGACTTATAGGAACCTTTAGATTTGTCCTGTTTTGCAGTGTGGCATTCTTAGAGTTTACCATTTATCTTTTTTACTTGTAAGATAGAGAGCTAGGCAATGATTCGTTACTGAAATATACTTTAAATATGCGGCAAATATATAACATAAAGTAATGCTTCTTATTTGGTAAATTAGCATCTTATTTTAGACTTTACAATCTAAGCATTAATATATTAGCTAAAACTAATATGCTGTGCTGGAGTTAGCTAAATGATAGGCTGGAGATGGCTTTTATCGTTTTATGAGAACCAGTTGTGCACATCTCTCCTCTTCCATGCAGCAGCCTGACATTGGCCATGATGGGAGTATTTACATCATGGAAATGGGCAAATGCTAAAAATCTGGCCTTTCTTTTCCTTGACTCCACTCTGTGAGCTTTTTAGCACTGTAAGGTTTTTAATGACTAATTCCAAATCATGCTGTACAATGTGGAACTTTGAAATCCTTTATGAAAAAATTGTTATATGGCCAAATATGTTTCAGAAATATTGCATGTAGAAATGTACTCTTTTTGTTGGAGAGTCAGAATATGTATGGTTATTCTAAAATCTGTAGTTTATGATGTGAAAAAAGGTATTTAACTTTGTATAACTCAGCATTTTCAACACTTTTTAAAGTGTATTAACAAAACTCATCTTTGCATTACATCTATTAATAACCCACTAAGTTAATGTTTTGCAGAGCACTCTTTGAAAACGATGGAGATATGTCATATTTCTTATTTGCTGATTTAAAATGTGTTTTATTTTCAGCCCTTCCAAGGTAACCCTTCTGGGGTCAGTTATCTTCACATTCCAGCACACCCAGCATCTGGCAATATCAAAGCATAATCTTATGTTCCTTTATACCATCTTTATTGTGGCCACAAAGGTAAGAATTCAAAGTACCTATAATTATTACAAATCCTGTATTACCATTCCCCTTTGATACAATTCTGCATACTGGGCAAGTAAGAGAAACATTTATTTATTGTTATTATCTAAGAGGAAGAATTTGGGGAGGTTTACTCAGTACATCCATGACTTTCTGAAACTTAACTTTTCTGTGATTTCTTATTTGCTTTATGCTAGGGCTATCAGGAAACACTTGCAGATAGCCTAGTAGTATATTGGAGAAGAGAGAGTAGTAGAAATAGCCAATGCTGATCAGAGACTGCAAAGATGATAGTGTCTCATTTGTAAAATGAGATACTTGAGATAGATATTCTCTGAGTTTCCTTTAAGCTCTAAAATTTCAAATATTTTATATAGGACATATTTGTGGTCATTCTTTTCTATTAATATTGCCTGGGTGGAAGCTTTATTCCTTCTTGAAGATAGGTTAGAGACAGGCAGTCTTGGGTTCAAATCCCAGCTTTGCTGGCTAATCCTTGAGTAGGCAAGCCACTTATGTCGCTGAATCCTAATTTTCTCGTCTTCATTGTACAGTTGTTGAGGATTAGAGAAGATGCATGTCTTTCTGTCACTGTATGTGACGTATCTTATGAATTTTATTTGCAGCTGTATCATGAGGCTAATTCTGACTATTCATACCATGAATAAGTATTGTTCCCTGTTCACAAATAGACAATTGATTTTATAATAAAATTGTTATTTAAGTCTAGAAAATTTTATGGCCACCTCTATTTTAGATTCGATATTTTTGGCTAAAAACTTATCTTTGGGATTTTTAAAAGGAAAACAGGATAGCTAATATGTGTCTTAGAATGAAGTCACTGTATGAATCATTCATTTTTGTTTCAGTAGTCTCTGAAATGGAGATGGTCTGTGGCTGTAATCAAGTAACAAATATTGGAGGCAAAATCTCTTCACATGTAGTCTCTTCCAGTCCTCAAATTTTGAGCTGTATATATTTTTTCTAACGGCTTTATAGAGGTATATTTTCCATACTGTGTTAGTCTGTTCTCATGCTGCTAATAAAGACATACCTGATACTGGGTAATTTATAAAGAAAAAGAAGTTTAATGGACTCACATTTCCACATGACTGGGGAGGGCTCACCATCATGGCGGAAGACGGAGGAGGAGCCAAGGCACATCTGACATGGCAGCAGGCAAGAGAGCTTATGCAGGGGAACTCCCATTTATAAAACCATCAGATTTCGTGAGACTTACTCACTATCCCAAGAACAGCACGGGAAAGACCCTCATGATTGAGTCACCTTCATCTGGCCCCTCCCTTGTACAATTCAAAGTGAGATTTGAGTGTGGAGATATGAGTGATGTATGGTTTGAGCCAAGCCATATCATATATCATACAGTTCACTTAAAGTGTACAATTGAATAGTTTTTTTAGTGTATTCATGGAGTTGTGCAATTATCACTACAAATCAGTATTAGAACATTTTTATCACTCCAAAAAAGAAACATTGTATTCTTTAGAAGTCATTTCACATTTCCCCCAATACTTCCAGCTATAGGCCATTTTATTTATCCACTCATCAGTTGATGGATAGTTTGATTGTCTCACTTTTTGGCTAAAATGAATAATAAGCTGTGAACACTCATGTAAATATTTTTGTGTGGACATGTGATTCATTTCTCTTGAGTATATCATCTATGAATGGAATTTTTAGGCCATATGTTAATTCTGTTTATCCTTTTGAGGAACTGACAGATTGTTTTACAAAGTAGCTTTATCTTTTTATATTCCCATCAGCAATGTATGAGATTTCCAATTTCACCACACCATTACTAGTGCATAGTATTGTATTTTTTGTTACAGGCACCCTAGTGGGTGTGAAGTGGCATCCCATTGTGGTTTTGATGTACATTTTCCTGATGACTAATGATGCTGAGTATCTTTTTTGTGCTTGTTAGGTATTTGTATATCTTCTTTGGAAAAAATATCTAGTCAGATTATTTGCTCATTTTTAATTTATATTTTGTTTTAATGTTGAGTTGTAAAATTCTTTTCATATTTTGGATACTAGAACCCTATCAGACTTAATGATTTGCAGATATTTTTTTCCATTCTGTAAGGTTTTTTCTTCACTGATAGTGCCCTTAGAAGCACAAATTGGTAAAATTTTGATGAAGGCCAGACTCAGTGGCTCACGCCTGTAATCCCAGCACTTTGGGAGGCTGAGGTGGGCAGATCACCTGAGGTCAGGAGTTTGAGACCAGACTAGCCAACATGGTGAAACCCCGTCTCTACTAAAAATATAAATATATAAAAATTAGTTGTGGGTGCCTATAATCCAAGCTACTCAGGAGGCTGAGGCAGTAGAATCACTTGAACCAGGGAGACAGAGGTTGCAGTGAGACGAGATTGTGCCACTGCACTCAAGCCTGGGCAACAGAGAAAGACTGTTCTCTGAACAGAAAAAAAAAATACAAACAAAAAAAACCCAACAACACTTTTTTTTATGAGTCCAATTTACCTATTTTCTCTTTTATTATGTGTTCTTTGTATGTCATAACTAGGAAACCATTGCCAAATCTAAGATCATAAAGATTTACCTCTATATCTTCTTCAAGAGTTTTATAGTTTTAGCTCTTGTATTTGGTTTTTATGATCTGTTTTGAATTAAGTTTTGTGTATGGTATGATGAACAGTCCAAGTTTTTTCATGTGGATATCTAGTTGTTCCAGCACTATTTATTGTAAAAACAATTCTTTTCCTTTGTGAATTGCCTTTACAATCTTGTCAAAAATCAGTTGACTGTAAATTTGAGGGTTTATTTCTGGATTCTCAATGTTATTCCATCCATATGTGTGCCCGTCCTTGTGCTATTAGTACTATGTCTTAATTGTTGTAGCATTGTAGTTAGTTTTGAAACCAAGACGTGTGACTGTGGTAGGATCCAAGATGGCTGATTAGAAGCAGCTGTGGTCCATGGCACTCATGGAAAGGAGTGAAAAGGGGCAAGTGAATTCAGCACCTTCAACTGAAATACCCACCTTGCAGTGGGACTGTCTAGGCAAACAGCTCATGTAGGGTAAGGGACCTTGGGCTTTGGAATGCCCAAATGGTTTGGACAAGGAAGGTCCCCTCCAGTGCAGCACACCTCCTCTACCAAAAAGCAGCCAGACTGCTTTTTTAAGCGGGTCCCTCATTCTGTTCCTCCTGACTGGGTGAGACCTCTCGATAGGGATCTCCAACCACTTCCTACAGCTGGGAACAGCATGGAGCCAAAGGAACCCCCACTGCCAGCCAAGGGAAGCAGTGAGTGATTATGCAACTTGCCCAGGGATCCACGCTTCTCTCATGGACCTTTGCAACCCGTGGATCAGGAGATCCCCTCGTGAACCCATGTCACCAGGGTCTTGGGTCTGATGCACAGAGCTGTGTGGAGTTTTGGCAGAGCAGCCACTCAGGCGCACACAGAGACACAGGAGTTTACATACTGTGGCCCTGGGGTCCCCAGCAAGTGAGGAAATCCATCCGTACATATTCCTAGGAAGGGGGCTGAATCCAGGGAACCAAGCAGCATCGTGCTGCAGGCCCCACTTCCATGGCACCTCACAATCTAAGACCCACTGGCTTGGGTTCCAGCCTGCCATCGGCAACGTGCTGGAATCTGCCTGAGACAGGTCTGAGTTCCTGGGGGGAGGGGCGGCTGGCATCTATGCGGTTTGGTAGACTTAGCCGTTCCAGCCTGCCGGCTTTGGAGAATATGAACAGTCCAGATGAGGAAGGGTCCTCCACAATGCAGCACAGCTCCCTTGGTAGATCATGGCCAGACTGCTTCTTTAAGCAGGACCCTGATTCATTCCTCCTCACTGGGCGGGACCTTCCTGTGGGGCCTTCAGCCACTTCAAAAGGGTTCTATTGGGACGTAGCTCTTAGGGGGAGGAGTGGCCACCGTCTCTGTGGTTTGGCAGACTTAGCCACTGTAGTCTGCTGGCTTTGGAGAATACAAATGTTACAGATGAGAAAGGGTTTCCCCACAGTGCAACACAGCTGCTTTACTAGATCGTTACCAGACTGCTTTTTTAAGCCGGACCCTGATCCATTCCTCTTCACTGGACAGGACCTCCCTGCAGGGACTTCATCCATTCCAGCCAGGGTTCTCCATCTCTCCCTGGGATGGAACTCCCGGAGGGAGGGCCAGTCACCATCTCTGTGACTCAGTTGACTCATCCATTCTAGGCTGCCGGCTTTGGAGTGCCCAAATGGTTTGGACAAGGAAGGTCCCCTCCAGTGCAGCACACCTCCTCTACCAAAAAGCAGCCAGACTGCTTTGTAAAGCAGGTCCCTGATTCTGTTCCTCCTGACTGGGCGAGACCTCCCAATAGGGATCTCCAGCCACCTCCTACAGGTGCATTCGGTCCGGCAGCAGGTCAGTACCCACCTGGGGCAGAGCTTCCAGAGAAGGAGCTGACTGCCATCTTTGCTGTTTCATAGCCTTCACTGATGATACCTCCAGGTTTGGGAAAAACCAAGGTATCTAGGGTCTGGAGTGGACCCTCAGCAAACCACAGCAGCCCTATGATAGACTGGCCTGACTGTTAAAAACAAACAGAAAACAACAACAACATAAACAAAAAAGACCCCATAAAAACCCCATTCGAAAGTCAGCAACCTCAAAGATCAAAGGTAGATAAACCCACAAAGATGAGAAAGAACGCAAAAATGGTGAAAACTCAAAAAGCCAGAGTGTCTTTTCTTCCCCAAATGATGGCAACATCTCTGCAGCAAGGGCATGGAACCAGGCTGAGGCTGAGATGCCTGACTTGACAAAAGTAGGCTTCAGAAGGTGAGTAATAATGAACTTCACTGAGCTAAAGGAGCATGTTCTAACCCAATGCAAAGAAGCTAAGAATCATGATAATAAAGGAGATGATAGCCAGAATAGTCAGTTTAGAGAGGAACATAATTGACCCGATGGAACTGAAAAACACAACATGAGAACTTCACAATGCAGTC